CGTAGTGGCTGGCACATAGTAGGTGCTTAATACATGCCTGTTTCCTTCCTTCCAGAGGCACTCTCTTCCACCTTTGTACATAGTCAGCAAGCATTTATTAAGTTTTTTAAATTAATATTTTTATTTTATCTTTATTATTATTTATTACTTATTTGTTATTATTATTGTTATCTTCTCTTCTTCAGGCTAAACATCCCGAATGTTGAGTTGGCCAAAAATCCTTGGGTAATTAAGGTCACCATCACACCAGGGCAGCAGCAGCAGGGCCAGGTTGGGAGAGAATTGGGCAACTGACATCTGACATGAGTCAGGGACTCAGAGGTCCGGACAGGGAGTCTGAGGGTTATGGTGGTCAGGAGGCAGAGGGGAAGGGAGGAACTAGGCCTCAGAGGTCAGGGCAGCCAAGGTTCAGGAGTCCAGGAAGTCAAGTCATTCTGACATCAAGTGCTGATCCTAGGTCGGGTGCTGCCAGTCTCCTAACCTGCTGTATAAGCCTGGGTAAGTGAGGCAAGCATCCACAGATGCTTAAGCCATGGCCACTGGGAGAGTTCAGATTCTAAACATCTGAGGGGATTAGTCTAACACCCTTATTTTACAGATGAGGAACTTGCAGTCCGTCAAGGTGCAATGACTTGCCCAGGGTCACCCAGGTGGAGCTACAGGGCCAGGATTAGAGTGCAAGGCCTCTGACTTCAGAGCCAGGACTCTTTTCATTATCACATGATGCCTTGGTCACGGACTAGGTCTAACCACGTCCAACACGTGCCACTCTCCCCCAAGAAGTTCTGATGTGAGCTCTCTGTTGGCTCTAGGATCAAATGTGAACCTCTCTGGTTGGCATTTAAAGGCCTTCCCAGTCTGGCTCCGTCCTGCCATCAGAGCCTAATTTTCTCTCCTCTCCCCTTCACGCATGTCACATTCCAGCCAATCTCAACAACTTGTTCCCTGTACGTGACGTTCGATCTCCTGCCCCACAGGCTTTGGCCCAGGCTGTGCTCCAAATTGGGCATGCCTGCAACCTCACCTCCCTTCAAAGTTCAGCTGGATTCTTCCTACACAAGGCATTTCCTCATCCCCTCCCAGGTAGCCCCTCCCCCACCCAGGAATGACTTTGTCCGTAGAGTTCATCTACATATGGGACATGTTATTTCCTCTCCAGAAAAAGTTAAGTTCCTTGAGGTCAGAGATTAATCTCTTTTTTTTTTTGCCTTCTTTCCCCACTGCCTAACATAGTACCTGGCATATAGTAGGTGCTTAATAAACGCGTGTTGCATATTGAATGAATGACTACAACATAGGACCATAACTCTAGGGCTAAAAAGGACCCAAGACATCATCTGGTCCAATCGTCTCATTCCACAGCTGGAGAAACTGAGGTCTGGGAAGATGAAGTGATCTGCCCAGTGTCACATGGTAGGAAGGACAGGATTTAAACTTGGGTCCTGCAACTTCACACTCAATACTTTCCCCTCCACCATGTTGCCTCAGCAGTTCAGAAGCTGGCGTTCTGACTAATCGTCAGCCAGATTTTTCCCTTACAAGAGTGATCTTAGTTGCCTACAGGAGCTTAACTGACGTAACAGGAATAGGACGTAATGTTCCCTGGGCCCCAGAACTGATATCTTAGCTCCTGGATCCTCCCGTGGTGGTGAGTGTGATTTACCTTAGTCTCCCTTCCCACAGCCAGCACTTGCTAGGGGTAGGCAAAGAGAGGCAAAACTGCTTCAGGGCCTGGGAGGACATTTGAGAGGAGGACTTGTTTCATTCTTTGTATACCTAGCGTGTGGCACACAGTAGGTGCCTAATAAACGATTGTTGATGGATGAAAGTGAGGTCTGGATGGAACCACTGGTAGAATCTCAGAATCAGGGGATGGATTATAGGATCATAGACCTTGAGATGTTGAAAGGGACCTCAGAAATGGTTTGATTCAACCTCCTCAGTTTACAGATGAGGAAACTGAGGCACAGAAATGTTAAGTGATTTGGCTAAGGTCACATTGGTTGTGTCAAATGCCATTTGTTATCTTTAGGCAGATTTAGGTGACATATTCCCATAGTATGGGCACTCCACACCCCCTGCCCCCCACCATCAATATGGTTGGTTGACCAATGGACCAGTTTATTTCTCCTGAGGAAAAAAGAATTCCAGGCTATTAAGTGTTATTCTTTGTGGCTGCCTGACCAGATGACCTCAAGAGGTGCAGGTCAGGGAGCCTTCAGTGGCTCCCCTCTGTCTTTACAGCCAAGTCCAAACTATTCAGTCTGGCACTCAAGGCCTTAATCTACTTTCCCATCCTTAGCTTTTTACACCCCTCAACACCCCAGTGGCTTTCCATTGTCTACAGAATCAAGTCTAAATTATTTACCGTGGCGTTCAAGGTCATAATATGGTCTTAGTCTACTTTCCCATCCTTAGCTCATTACTCTCCTCTAAACTCCAGTAGTACAGAGTTAAGTCCAAACTATTCATTCTGGCATTCAAGGCCTTAGTTTACTTTCCCATCCTTAACTCATTATTCCTCTATGGACCTCAACGACTCCTCACTGTCTGCAGAGTTGAGTCTAAGCTATTTACCTCGGCATTCAAGGCCATATGGCCTTAATCTACTTTCCCATTCTTAGGGTCAGACTGCCTGTTCTTCATTGTACTTATTGACACTCCCTTAAGTTTTCACACCTCTTCACCTTTGCTTGGGCTGTTTCCCCAAATTTTATACTTGCCTGCCACAGATCTCTTAATTTTTACTTGTCCCTTAAAACCCAACTTAAATGTCATCTACCCTGTGATGCTTTCCCTGACCACCCTGGCTAGAAATGATGATTGCTTCCTCAGAACTCTCACAAGTTTACTTAACATAGAGATATTTCCCCAAGGCTATTTCTATAACTGTTGATGTCCATCCCTCTCCAAGGCCCAAGCTAGGCACCATCTTTGCCATGAAGCTTTCCCTGAAACCCATCCCCGTCTCACTCCCAAAGGAAAATGACCTTGTGATTCTCAATTGTCTCCCAGGTGGGACTTTCCCTAGGTATCTCCAACATTCTCAGCACATCTTTTTTTTTTTTTTTTTTTTTTTTTTTAAGGCGATTGGGGTTAAGTGACACACAGCTAGTAAGTGTCAGGTCTAAGGCCAGATTTGAACTCAGGTCCTGCTCACTTCAGGGCCGGTGCTCGATCCACTGAACCACCTAGCTGCCCCCACATCTTCTGATGTATCGGTTACTGGAGTACAGTTTCCTCCCTTCTCTCTTTCAGATTGTAAACCACTTTAGAGAATGACAGGACCCTTGAAGCTGCGTCTGGAGAGATCTTAGAGGTCACTGAGACCCTCAGCTCTTAAATCAGAGGCTCATAGATGCAGAGCTGGAAAGGACCCCCGAGGCTGTCTAGGCCAAGCCCCTCTCATTTGGTCATACAGAGAGTGTCAGAAATTGGATTGAAGCCCAAGGCCTCTGAGATCATAACCACGTCTCTTTCCATTGGGCCAACATCACTAAGCTAATAAGTGACACAACAGGGTGAGTGTTCTTTATTAACTCTGTGCCCCCAGTACCCAGCACAGTGCCGGGTAGGAGCTTGATGTTTGTGGAATAAAACATTATCGTGCACAGCTGTGCATTGTGTGTCCTCTGCCAGGCCTGGTGGCAGTCTCTCCTCATCTCCTCCTCCCAGAATCCCATGATTCCCTCAAAGCCCTGCTCAGGGGACCACCTGAGGCCTTTCCTGTTCTTCCCTACCCAAAATGTCCACGCTTTCCCGCTTTCAAAAACAACAAAACAAAACTATTCTGCACGTATTCTGTACCTCCTTGTGGGGGCACATGTACCTGCTTCTTTGTGGACGGTAAACTCCGTGAGGAAATGGATTGCCTGCTTCATTTTTGTCTTTATTTCCAGGGCCTACCTAGCCCCAAGTGGGGGCTCGAGGAAATTCAACCTTGTTGAATTGACTCCTCAGCTCCTTCAGAGCAGGGACAATTTCATTTCTTTTTCTCTGTAGCCCTGCTGCCTGGCACACAGTAGATGCTCAATAAATAAATACCTTCTCATTCATTCATTCACTCACTCACTCACTCACTTACTCACTCACTCATTCATTCATTCAATGCTTGTTGAATTGAACTGACTTCCAAGCTAAACTAGAAACTCCTCTAAGGCAAGGGACCTCTGTATAAGCACCCATGTCCACGTATGCCCAGCACATATTAGGAGCTTAATAAATATTTGTTGATTAAGCAAGCCTGGGTGGCCCTTGGGGGCAGCCTGGGTAAGGGCAGGTTTCAGCTCAAACCTGGACTAATTCCCCTTTCCGCCACCCTTTGCTTCTCCCCCAACAACCCCAAAGAGAGAAAAGCACATGGGCAAGAGGTTGATGCTGAATCTTTTTTTTGGTTTTAATTTTGCTTCTCTAAAGCGTGCGCTCAGCTGATGGAGTGGGGAGGGAGGCCATTAAAAAAGCCCAGCAGTTGGGCAGCATGGGGAGGCCAGGGGAGGGAGGAGAGGGGAGTGAGTCCCCCTTCCCCCAGCCTCCAGGGAGGGAGGAGTAGCTAAGCCCGCACTAACTTCATAAAATACAAAATGGAAAAAAAGGGGTGGGGAGGAAATGGGGCGTGGGGGGGAGTGGCTTCTAAAATACAATATCTTAGGGAATTGGCAGTAATAAAAAATAAGGTTCATTATTTACAAACAATTTCTGCTCTTGGTCTCTGTACAGTAGTGGGGGGGCAGTGGGGCCTGGCCGGACCCCTGTCCTGGGATTGGGAGGACTGATGGCACAGTGGTTTGTTAGGTCAAGGGGGGTGGGGAGGGACAGCCCAGTGTTATCTCTGGGAGGGACGATAAAGAAAGAAATTGGCGGGGGGGGGGGGGGGGGGGGGGGGGGGGA